AATGCCAATGCCAAAACACGAATGACAGACGATTGAAATACAGAATGACAGCTTATATATGATGTTATTCACACCGGCTGATGCTTTTTTCTTAGGATCAATGCTCTCTCGACTATCCCATGGATATTATTCTTCCAAGACAGAAGACGTTCGAACACGCTCCGTTAACAAGCAGAAGGCGTTTAATGCTGAAAGTCTAAATGAAACAGATCTCGGTTCCACTGCAAAATTCTAACTTAACTGAGCCCCAGATTGTTTAACGGCTCTGTTTCAGTTATACGTTTTATACAGTACGCAATAATTTGAAATGAAGCAATCGTAACTCATTCGAAAGCATTACCCAGAATTGACGTGGGAACTTCAAGGAAAAATACCTAAAATATTACAGGTGACATTTTTTTGTGGAGGCGGGGTAAAAATGTACCTGCAAACTCTTCATAAAATATTTGTACGTGTTATCCATGAATGTAGGGAATGCACAAAATTGATATTATACCTGACATAAATAGGCCCGTGTGATGGGACACAATATCAGAAGAAATAATAAAAATGGACCACTAATTGTATAATTACTAATTTAGAGTTCCTGGTAGCCTCACGATATACGAAATTTCATAATTTCACTGAAGTAGACGTCACAAGTTCTTACAAGAATTTTGGCTTAAAATGTTACATTAAACTTTTCTTGTTTGACTTTCTTTATGTAAATTTGGTTAGTCTCTGGGTTTTTGTAACTTGTATCTGCCATATTCATAACTTCATTCCATTCTCATCACTAGCTTCATGGATGACGTCATCCTAATTATACGTTGTCTCACATAGTTAACTTCTTAACGTGTACATCTTTTGATATTTCATCGGCTTTTCTCCTTTGACCAGACTAATCCTTCTCCACCCTCTCTCTTAATCCGTGCGTCATTATATTCTTGCTTCTCGCTTTATCATTTCCTCCCTCCGTGTTCTGAACTCTGTCTTCCTTCAGGAACTACTTGCCCTGAGACCATTTCTAACCGATTATTCGTAGTTTACATAACGCTTTATCAAATGTGGAAAGCACTTATGGCACATTTTTATTAATGGTAAAAATGTTTAGAACGCTGGCCTTGTAATCCTGGGGTCTCGGGTTCGATTCCCGGCGGTGCCCGAATTTATAAATTGTGTTGGTCAAGGCCGTGGTCTAGGCAACACGGAGTTTTCCTCCGTGGCATCCCAACAATTACTCCATTCACACACAGAAGAAGGCAATGGCAAACCACTTCTGGATCATCTGCCAAGAACGTATATGAACAGGTCCCAGTCCGAGAAAAGGAGGGAAGGATCCTGTTCATATGAACCTGTCGTCAGACAGAACACTAAATAATAAAAAAAGAAGGTAGCGGAAGGCAGCAGTTTCAAAGTTCATTAAGAATCAGTCCATTACATCGCGAAGTCAGCAATACAAGTGTGTACAAATCAGCAACCATACGTATTAGTTTCGAATACTCAAACAGAACCATCTGAACATGATCGATTAATGTCGAAACACATAGTAGATTCCTAATTAACATTGAAACTACAATCAAGAATAGTTGTGTAGACGTAATGTCAACCTAACGTTCAACAGACAACAGGACGCATCCCTTAAAACGCAATCTGAGCGTTGTCAGCCACGTGTTTAGACAGAACGTATTAGAGCCATGACACTATAAAGGATTAAATTTACCAAGAGGCAATTCAAATAACATAACGCACGTGTCAGCAAAACGATTTAATGGCATGAAATCCCTTACAAATTGCAGTCGATTGTTTACGTTTACGACCGATGAATTTTGATGAGAACTGTACTGAGGGTGAAACACGCTTATGCAATACTAATCCGCAATATTCTAACTAAAACAATTTAACGTAAAAATGTTACAAGTACGTAAAAGTATTCTAAACTTAATGGCATCAAAGTTGTTTATTTTCAGACAGTGTTGTTCTCCAGTGAAAATAAATGTTCTGCTATGAACGTGCTCAAAATCGCACATGAGTATTCAGTTAATTAACAAATTTTCATGAACTCATGAACGTCATTTATCTCGCCGCTGTCCTATCTTCGTATCTGTTAATATACTATCATCAATAAAACTAACAAGACAGCCCTGCATACTTTTGTATCACAGAGTCAGTCAGTTTCCGAATCGTTTATTACTGTTACGGTTGATCGCCACTGAATTGGAAAAAAGAGTAATTTAAATAACTGCAGCTCTGACGTAGTCACGCAGAAATTACTGACACTCCGCATTACAATCGCCTACAGCCTAGACTAAAGACATCGTTTCCTGCTTCCATTCACTTGCTGGTATAATTTTCAAGAACACGTTTCTTGGCTTTTAAGCAGACAGCTTATTGGTACGCAGAAGTGCCAAAAAAAGTGGGGGGGGGGGGGTCAGAAGCCGAAGAATCGAATGCCGTGTTCGAAAAACTGTTCTTGTTCCCTGAAACTGTATCAAGCTAAACTTTCGAGGCTCTCCGAAAAGATCTCGCAGTAGGAATATCAGGGACTTCAAATGCTACACACATTACAAAAAAACTGTGTCATCATGCAAAGTCATTGGTGTGTTAAAGCAGCTGTATACAAACTTTTTTTGTTCGCGTACCCCCAGATATAATTTCTCTTCAACTTTGTACCCCCAAA